GGGATTGCAGGGTATACCCTTTGGTTGGGTGATGATGCATGGACAGGATGGTAACTATGGCAATGAGACGATGTATGATGGAAGGAATGTAAAACTAAGTTCCCCCATGTAGACTATCACACAATACACAATAAAACATTAAAAAAAACAAAAAGAGTTCTTAAAAGGTCATATGCAGAAAGATGCATTTAATAATAAACCAGAAAAGCTTGTTCATGTGATACTCTTATAAAGGAATATTACCTTCTCTGGTGTTTTTAAAATTAGAAGTTTTTCACGAGCACAATAGTTTGTAGAGCAAGATCTACGTCGGATGATGTGCTGGAGTCTTTCTAGCTCTTTCTTATAATAATCTCGTTCTTCTTCTAAGCCTTTCAGGAATGTATCTAAACGAGAAGGTGACCTATCTCGACGTTTTATTCCATGTTCTAGCCGCATCCTCTCAACTTCTAATGTTAGTTCTTTTTCTGCAAATTAAAATGATTAAATATTAAAAGCATATTGCATTTATAATAGTCAAATAAATTGTCAATAACTTTAAAACTTCTTTAAGAACGCAAACTACTAAAAATCATAAGCTATTTTACATATCATCTGTAAGAGCCAGATATATCAAATAGGCTAATATTGAGAGGACAGGAAAAATATAACACAAGCAAAAATTAAATTCTATCAAAGGGAACATACATAAGTAGGCATCTAAGCTCACTGACAATCTCGCTGGTCTACATGTGAGTGGAAGTGGGGGAAAGGCAGTAATGAAGATATGGGCTGAGCTCGACCATGTTCCATAGACTCCTGTGGACCTGGAGAGAGAGGAGGAAGGCTCACTGGTCTGAAGTTTGGGGAGACCTGGAACTCCTGAGCCCATGATACTGACCACTCTAAGTGGACTAGAGCCGAGAGTGAAGTGCCCAGCAGATATGATGTGGGGGAGACACACAGGAACACTCAAACTTGCAGAGTATCCATCTGACCTAGCTTTGATGGCTTGATGACCAGAGCTTGACTAGAAGAAGAAAAAGAAATCTGATAAAGGAAGCAAGTGTAACTTGCTACAATTTGATGAACTTGACCTATACTTATGGATGTAGTAGCTCAAGGTACCAACCAGGAGTAAAGAAGTTTTCACATAAAGGATCAAGCCTGTCCCCTCGGTATATAGGGTTGATTGTTGTTGTTGTTATGTGCCGTGGAGTCGGTTCAGACTCATAGCAACCCTGTACAGGGCTTCTGAGGCTGTAAATCTTTACGGGAGCAGAAAGCCTCATCTTTCTCCAGTGTGTCAGCTGGTAGTTTCAAACTGCTGACCTTGCGGTTCACAGCCCAATTCGTAACCACTATGCTATAGGGATGGGCAAATCAAACACTGGCTACTTAAAATAGGGGGCAGGGGACTATAAAGGCATGAAATGGCTGGCTTAAAAGCTTTCAAGAGAGAGTTTAGTTTCAGAGCGTGTGGGGAAAGGTAGAATCCCCACTGAATCGTTTTCATCTTGTCTAGATGGATCTAGTGAAAGGAAATGGGAATAGGACTCTTGATTCAACAGTGAGTAACTGTTATCATGACTAAATGCGATTGTCACAACTGCCAAGGTAGAAGTTTTCTAACATAAAGAGGGGAGTAGTTAATCTCACATTCCAGGAACAGAGGACCCTAGGACCATCAGGAGAGAAGAACATGAATAGAACGTGGAACCCTAAACCAGAGAAGCAGCGACACCTGAGATGGAGGCAGAGGTAATGGCCTGGAGAGACAGAGCAGCTGAGGACTCAAGACTCACGGAATGAGAAAAGCTGTGTGCTGGCAGCCAGGAGGTTGGCTTGCAGAACATGTCCTTTGATTGTTTAAATGATTATATACGTGAGTGTTTTTGTGTACATAAAAAAAACAAAATAAAACAAAAACCCACAGGGGATAGAAGCAAATAATGTTAAATGATGATGCATGGAGGGGACTGTAATAATTACAATGAAACAAAATACAAAAGGATGAGTGCAAACCTGTGTTCTCACATGTAAACTATTACTCAAATCACAATACAAGCTTAAAAAAAAAAAAAAAAAGTATATTGCCATGTGTGGCAACTATGTACTAAATGTCTGTCCTGAAAAAAATGTCTAAGAAAAACAGTCTTTTCAAGAAAAAAAAAAGATTAAATTTTAAGTTTAAATAAAATCCAGAGTCCAAGTCTCCCAGCTTTGGTTTTAACACAAGAATGGATACTATGCAGGATTACCAAATAAAACAATGTATTACAAATAAGTAAATTGTTCACCAGGAAGCTATCAAGACAAGCAATCAATTTCCTTCAGGACAAACCCCCCTCTAAGACTAAAACTCAAAGGAAGCTTGCTGGCGACCACATTGGTCTACTGGTGAGTAGAAGAGGGGAAAAGACAGCAATGAAGAAATGGGCTGAGTTCAACCACAGTCCGTTGATTCCTGTTGACCTGGAGATGAGAGAGAGAAGAAGAAGGGCTGGTAGCTCCAAAGTGTGGTGAGACCTGAGGACACTTGAGCCCATGGACAAGAACATAGCCAAAGAGGACTAGAGCTGAGAGTGAAGTAGGCAGCTGATATGAAGTCAGGGGAGATGCACAAGAACACCCAATGTTGCAGACACTGCCCATTTGACCTAGCCTCGATGGCTTGATAATCAGAATTCAACTAGAGGAAGATTACAAAAAAGGATAATAATTTTCTTTTTATAAAGGAAACAAGGGTAAATTGCTACAGTTTGATGACCCTGACCTACACTCATGGAGGTTTTAACTCTAAATACCAACAGAGAGAGGAGTCTTCACATCAAGTATCAATGCTACCCCTCTGTACACAGGGTCAAAAGGGATGGGCAACTTAAACATTGGCTACCTAAAATGAGGGGGCCGTAAAGGCACGAACTGACTGGCTTACAAGGTTTCAAGAGGGAGTTTAGTTTAAGAGTGTAGTGGGGAAGAAAGAGTCCCCAATGAATAGTTTTCATCTTGTCGAGCTGGGGATAAGATTTGTAGGACTCAATAGTGAATATCTGTTATCATGACTAATTGCGACTGTCACAATTGTAATGGTAGAAGTTTTGTAACAAAAACGGGGGAGTAGTTAATCTTACATTCAACAAACAGAGGACCCTAGGACCATCAAGGGAGAAGAGCACAAGCAGAATGCGGGACCTTATCTAGAGAAGCAGCGATGCCAGAGACGGGGTCATGGAGAGGGGGAACGACTGAGGACTCTAGATTCATTGGAAGAGCAGGACTAAGAGCTGGTGGCCAGGAGGCAGACTTGCAGAATGTGCCCTTTGGAGGTGTAAATTATTACATATGCCAAAGTGGTTAAAAAAAAAAGCTAAAGTGAATAGAGTGAAATACTGTTAACTGATGGTACACGGAGGGGATTATAATCATTGTAATGAAACACGGTGTTTTTGTTGAATGTAGAACTGATGATCTGCCCTGTAAACTTTCACTCAATCCACAAATAAAAAACCTTAAAAAAAAAACAACAATGCATTACATTCGGCATTTTCTGGTAACTTGAAAATGCACTAAAAGAAAATCTTTCTGTATACAGTTAATTGAAATATGTACAATTTGAACATTAAGCTTGACTGCAGTATAGCTTATACATAAACAGCTCAAATAACTTGAATGTTTCTCCAAATGAACACAATTAGCTATTAGCATAGAAACTGCCTATTTATGGGCTGAAAGCAGCTAAGTACCAGCAGTTTTATATTAACTCACTGTCATTCCTGTCTTTCTGACTCACAGCAACTCTACAGAATAGAACTGCTCCCTAGGGTTTCTCGGTTATAAATCTTTACCGAAGCAGACTGTCTCATCTTTATCCCATAGAACAACTGGTGGGTTCAAGCCACCAACCTTTTGGTTAGCTTGGCACCCCAGTGCTTAACCCACTGAACCACAAGAACACCCAATTTCATGTGTTGTTGTTAGGTGCCACCGAGTTGGTACCGACTCATAGCGACCCTATGCATAACAGAACAAAGCAATTTCATGTAGTTCACTTGAACTTAATTGATGCATATTAGAACTTTGAGACACCGCACTATTTTCAAGACACATTCTGATTTATTCCTATCGTTTCATTCCTTATCGAGCATTTAATTATATATATGCTTATGTTATATCATTTTATGTTAAGTGCTGTCAAGATGGGTCTGACTCATAGAGACCCTGTAAAGGGTTTTCTGAGGAGCAGATGGTGGATTAGAATGGCCGGTCTTGCAGTCCAGTCATCAGACCAGTGCTGATCCTATAGTGCCACACCATGACTCTACCTTATGCTTAATCACTAGCTAAAAATAAAAGTGCAAATCTTGTTGACAAGTGCTATAGAGTCAGTTCTGACTCATGGTGACCTTGTACAGGGTTTCCAATGTAAAGCTGGTGGATGGGTTTGAACTCTCAAACTTATGGTTAGAAGTCCAATGCTTATTCTACAGCACCACACCAGGACTAGGTTAAACAAGTCATTATTTTAATTGCAATTGGATAAAAGCTACAAAGAAACAATGTGTAATGCAAACTGGAAGATGAATTGCCTAATTCATCCTAAGTAGTAACCAGAATGCTCAGAGGAAACCAGGAAAGTGTGCTATCAAAGAAGCCATATAACCAGGCCTGGTGTTGGCTACTAAGAGGTCAAATCCGCTAATGAATGAAAAGCCTGCACTGTATGTCGGGTAATGGAGGTGGCTGAGGACCTTAACAAAATAAGTTCCGGTAGTGAGGTAGAACAGAAGGCAAACTGGAGTGGACTGAGGCACTAAGGGCTAGTGTAGGACCAAGCTGAGATAAATATGATGATCTCTCAAGACGCTGAAGCTACAAAGAGAAAAGGGTAGCTGGAGGGGCACAAGTCAAAGTTTTTTTTTAATAGGAAATTTAAGAGTCAGCCTGTTTGAAAACTAATGGGGAAAAAAATCAGTACAAAAGATAAAAATTATGTAAAGGAGATAATATGCAAGGTTTTTAAAATGAGAGAAGATAGGACCAGAGAGCTAACTCCCCGATTGTACCAGGAGGAAAGACAATGGGCAGGTTTTTAATCTGGGAGCAGTATATGAAACCAAAGGAATGTCTGCCTAATAGCTTCCATTCTCTCAGGAAACCAGAAGACAGACCATCCAGTCTGAATGAGGGTAGGTAGAGAAACCACAGGTTTAATGAGAATGGAAAACATTAAAATGTTTGCTGCAGTGGAAGATGTGTGCAGTGGCGAGGGGTGAGGAAGGTAGAGCACTAAGAGAAACCCAGGAAGACTTCCATACAATATTGAGAGTCCCACTGAGGTTGGGGACTATTATTTACAGTGGTATCAGAGTGGCTAGTGCATGCCCAAGCAGTGTTTAACTGCCCATGTATAAGCATATATAGAAGGTAAATGGTTTGGAAGCACCATGGCTGGGGTGTGAGCAGGGGGGCTACACTGAAAATACTGAGAACTAAGGGGGTTTGAGTTATCTGACAGATTCTGCTGAAATGATAGGCTTTAGATCGCTATGAGGGAAACAAACAAACTCTCATACATGGTCCTAAGCACTTCAGGCAGAGTGTAGTGCCTCAATGTGATAAGCACTGGACTATGAACCACGAGATCATTGGAATGAGCCCACCAGTCGCTCTGTAAGAGGAAGATAAAGCTTTCTATTTTCAAAATGACGTACAGCCTCAGAAACCCTATTATAGGGTCACTATTCGTAGTGGTTACGAATCGGGCTGCGAACCTTAAGGTCAGCGGTTCGAAACTACCAGCCACTCCGCGGGAGAAAGATGAGGCTTTCTACTCCCGTAAAGATTTACAACCTCGGAAACCCTGTACAGGGTCGCTATGGGTCGAAACCAACTCGACGGCACTTAACAACAACAACAACATGAGTCAGAACCTACTTGACAGCACTTAACAACAGCAACAATGTACGTTAGGAGTTCTGCTGTGGCACTGTAGAGTAAGCACTGGACTGTTAACTGCAAGGTTCAAGGTTCAAATCCACCAGCCAATCCTTGGAAACCCTAGACAGGGTCACTATGAGTCAGAACCAACTCCACAGCACTTAACAACAGCATGCGTTTTAACACTCTAACCTTCACAACATTAATCTTCACAGCAATCTTTTAGGGCTGGTGCCACCATCACTTGCATTTTGGATAGGGAAACTGGAACACAGAGAAGGTAAGTAACTTGCTCAAGGTCGTAAAGCTAGTAAATGGTAAAGGGTTAAATGGATTAACCACATGGATGGTGAAGGGCCAAGAAGATATCCTGTCTTTACAGTAAGTACACTGCCTTCTCTCATTTCCTAAGACACACCAAGTTTGATGGCACCAAACTTCTGAACTTGCCATTTTCTCTACCAAGTACATTCTGCCTCCAGATCTTCATGTCTGGCATCTTCTTCAACACTTCAGTCAGCCAATCTCTAGCATATTCTCTGTTTTAATACCACTCACCATCTAAAATTAACATGTCCACTTATAGTTTGTTTCTTAACTAGAACAAAGACTCCAGAAGAGTAGGTATCTAAGGCATCTTGTTTACCATTACATATTATACCCCATACCCGGAATAGAGCCTGCCACACATGGGCAATTCATAAACATTTGTCAACTGAAGGGATGAACTCTTACACGTTCATTAACCCTAGTCATTTAGGACTTGTAGCTGGCAGAAAGTCCATCTATTTCAATTGCATGTGCACTTTGTTGTTGTTGTTAAGTACCGTCAAGTCGGTTCCCAGTCACAGTGACCCTGTACAGGGTTTCCGAAGAGCTGCTGGGTGAGTTTGAACCACCGACCTTACAGTTCAAACCAACCATGCAGTCCAGCGCATTAGCCCCAGCGTGATACCAAAACTCCATGTGTACTATGAAGTAATACTTTAAAGTGACACAAATACATTTCCTTAAAAAGATTTTTTATTTCAGATGGTTTTCAACTTCAGAATGCTCTTCTTCTTAATCCTAACACTAGTATCAGTCTGCCTCAAACTAAAGGAAAACTATTCAAGGAAGATTCCCTGAAGCAACTAGTTAAAACAAAAAGAGAGAATATTGTAAATTCCTTGAAGAAGATTCCTACTGCATCTACAGTACCTAGTGTGGTTTCTGACATCTAACAAGCCCTCAAAAACTATTTACTGAATGAAAAACTACCTGTTAAGGAAAAAAACAAATCAAGAGAAAGTCACAATCAAATTTTAAAGTTACTAACATTTTATATCTTACCTATATCTGCAAAACTTTCCATTTTTTTGGCAAGTCTTTGCTTTTCTTGTTCAATTTGACAAACAACAGTTTCAAGATCTGCTTTTTTGAGGAGCTCTTCATTTAGTCTTTCCTTTTCTTTATGACTTAAGTCTAATTCCTGCAAATTGAAATACTATAATCAAAATCTCTAACAACTTTATAAAATTTTATAGTACTTGAAAATCACACATTTTCATAGCATATTTCTATACTAGTTTACCTATAATTATGTGTAAATATCCCTTGTTTATATTTGTATATATCTGTGCTCTACAGTTGCTGTTGTTAAGTGGTGTTGAGTCAGTTTTGACTTACAGAGAACCTGTATAGGGTTTCCAAGGCTATAAGTCTTTACATGATCAGAAAATCTCATCTTTCTCCTGCCATGAGGCCAGTGGATCTGAACTGCCGACTTTGTGGTTAGCATTCCAGAGCTTATCCTACAGTGCCATTCGTGCTCTTAAACTCTCCAAAATAGTGCTCTATTTGATACACCCACCCCCACACACAGAACTTCAGTTAGCCATGTATGGTTTCAACTGAAGTTAATTATCAACTGTGGCTAAAAGCACCACAAAGCCCAAATTAGCAACAGTGCTTCTTTTGAGGTGGTAAAACTATAACTTTTTATTTATATCGAATTTCTTTAGCATATTGCCTATTTTTTTCTAAATGAGAATGTGCTTGTGTAATAAAAATGATTAAAGCATTTTTACACTTAAACGACAGCAGAAGTAAGATTGTGTTTGTTCTAAGATGACCAGTGTGTGTCCGTAACTATGCAGCTCACAGCCTCAGCCTCAGCACAACGGGGAAGAGAAAAGCAGTAGCTGAACACGTGGGGAGAAAGACCAATGGATGTCAAGCATTTGCATAGTCCCCAGGACACAGAAACAACACAGGACAACTCACTGCTAGAGTTGATTTTGATGCATAACGGCCCTATAGGACAAAGTACATGTACCCAGAGGGTTTCCAAGACTATACATTTAGAGAAGCAGAATGCTTCACCTTTCTCCTGCAGAGCTGCAGGTGGGTTTGAATAAGCAATCTTTTGGTTAGCAGCCAAGTGCTTAACCACTATACCACCAGGACTCCTCAGAACATTATGGTGAATGACAAATGAGCTATTAGTATCATCGCTACTATCTTTAAAATACATAACCATAGCACCAATGGACAAATAAGAAAGGCCAGAAAGTCACTACAGCAGCAAACAGTAAGCCAATGCTTTTGAAAGTTGGCCAGAGCTAGAAGACAATTACTATGAATCACATTCAACTTTTTTATAGCATGCATATTAAGCTCAAGGAGGATCTAAGTATCTCCTAAGTGTCAGGCATTGTTCGAGGGGCTAGAGATGTAGTAGTCAACAAACAGCAAAAATCTTTGCCCTCATGAAAGTTACAATCTAATGAGAAACATCAAAACATCCACTTTCCATTTTATTGACTCCATGAGAGAATTTTACAACATTTAGGAGACATGCAGCAGGTTTAGCAAATCAATTATTCCACTGAATAACTGTATTGAACCTGCCAAAATGCAGTATGTGCCAGCAGAGACCTGGTGTGGCTCTGTGGGTTAATGTGCTGGACTGCAAAGTCGGTTTGATCCTCAAGGACAGCGGTTCAAGCTCACCAGCTGCTCCTCTCAGAAATCCTATACAGGGTCGCTATGGGTTGGAACCAACTCTACAGCACTTAGCAACAACAACAACATACGTGCCAGCATATCACAATGGCTTCCTTTGTTACTCACCTTATGCCACTAGAACATTGCAGCTAGGCAGTATAAAAAGCATTATGTTGTAAATTGGAAATCAGTATTAATCTTTGTAATCGTGAGGAAACTTTTGCAATTTAATAGGCTAATTCAAAAAGCGAGAACTTTTTGGTTGACCTTTTACCAGTACGTAAGATATTCTTTCTGTCAGTTCCAGATTGCAGACTGTATGCTGGTTTTTACCAGGATGATTACAAACATTTCTCATTTCAAGATCACCAGAACAAACTGTATGACTAAGGAAATGATTTGCACTGCCAAACATGGCTACCGAAAGAGGGTATAATCAACAATTATACTGAGTAATTGCCAATTTAATGTTGGTAAACTTAGGAGTCATAGAGTTGATCAAATCCCTAATAAGATTTCCCAAATGTGAATGTTACTTGTCACCTACTATATATGAAATTACAGCAAGCTAGAGAGAATATGCATACTATAGATTCGACCATCCAAAATAATGAAAGAAGCTCAAAAGATTATGCTAAGTGAATGGAGTCAAACACAAAAAGCCACCTAACTGCATGATTCCATTTATATGAACTATCCATAACAGGCAAATCTATAGAAACAGAAAGTGCATCTGTGGTTGCTTGGGTGCGGCGGCAGGTCAGGGAAGAGTGAGAAGTGACTGCTAGCGGTACAGAGCTTCTTTTTAAGGTGATGAAAATGTTCTAGAACCAGCAACTCTGCAGGAGAAAGCGGAAGCATTCTGCTTCTATTAAGCCTTATAGTGGTCATGGCTACATAACATTGTCAATACAGGCAGTCCCTGGATTATGAATGAAAACCGTTTCCAAGTCTGTCAAGTTGAATTTGTTGATAAGGCAGAACAGGTTCTTATTTAGGGTTGGTTAAAATTGTTTCAGCTGCTGACTGTAGCCTAACGTCTTCTCAGTGTCTAATGGTGTTTTATCTCTTCCTATCACTTCAATATTTCCATTTTATTTACAGTCATGATCTTTTTCCTTTTCTTTGATGCATCACCATCACTTGCATCAGATTATGCTTTTAAGGCATGGGTACAATATGAGAGAATGTTAAACCACAGAGTTACAAACTCAACAGTGATCCAACTTCAAAAGGAAGATGGTCTCCTGCCTCAAGCATATGATACACGCTACAGCTTCATGAACATCACAAAGCAGTGCATGCATTCCGTTATTGTGAGCCATTATATTTAACTCAAAATTTTAATGCAGCAGGCTTTATGGCAGCCCGTTCGTAAGTATCAGTTGGCTATAAGTAAGATGTTCTTAACCCGGGAACTTTATGTGTACTAAAACCCACTGAATTGCACATAATTTAAAAGGGTGATTATAATGAAAATTTTATCTAATTTAACATATATGTGTGTGCCCATATCTGTATAAAATAAAACATTAAAAAATTTTTCTTACTAAAAATTCTGGCATTTTTCACTTTGACATCTACTTACCAGCTGAAGCTTTGAAATTGTTTCTTCAAGATCTCGCATTTCACAGAGTTTTCTTTTAATCTCTTTCTAGGAATAAAGAACCTATTAATACTCTGCTGGGAGGAATGTAAAATGGTGAACCTACTCTGGAAAGCAGTCAGGCTGTTCCTCAAACAATTAAAACACAGAGTTACCCTATGACACAGGAATCCCACCCTTAAGCATACCTCAAAAGAAATAAAAACATATATCTGTGCAGAAGCCTAAGCATGAATGTTTACTGCACCATTTTTTCTGCATTAGCCAAATGTCCGTCAATGGATGAGTAGATACACAAAATGTGGGAAAGCCATACAACGGACTATCACTTAGCCATAAAAATGAATGAAGTATTGATATACAAAAGGGCTTCAAAGAAGTTCATGGAATTAAAAGATAATAGAATTTTCCCGCAAACTTTTTGAAGCCCCATTGCATGCTGTAACATGAATGGACCTTGAAAACTAACGGAATGAAACCATTCAGCCACAAAAATCACATACTACAGGATTCCATCCACAAGGAAGTCTAGAGCAGGGGAATTTAAAGTAGATCAGTGGTTGCTTAGGATGGGAGGCAATAAGGGACAAGAAGGATGATAGCTAATGGTACAAGCTTTCTTGTTGAGGTGATGAAAATGTTCTAAAATTGACATCAATCATTAGCTGGGATGTGATAATGGCTGCACAGCTCTATGAATATACTAAAACATCATGAATTCTACACTTTAAATGAGTGTATGGTATGTGATTTGTATCTCAATAAAGCTATTAAAACAAACAAAAAGTCTATTAAGTAAATACCCAAAGTCTAAGAATGCTTATCACTAAGTCATAATGCAAATGAGACTGCATAGTTTTTCAAGTAGTTCATGTTCTCTCTCACCAGTGAGACAGATTTGAGGCTTCCACCCTATTACTCAGCTTCCAGGAGGAAGAGGCAAAGTTGAGGCTTGTCTTTAATCTCCTGGTGTTCTGAATGTTCCTAGGGATCTATTTGTAATATCTGAAAACAACAGGGTGTCTATCATTGTTTTGGGGTTTTCTGGCCTAGATACTTGTAGAACTTTTCCAGAGCCTCAAATTTTAGGACATTGTTCACGGCACTCTCATCTCCTGACTTTCTGATCCTAGTTGCTCTCTCACTACCTGAATCCCCAGTCCTGTAACTGAGAGAGCTGGATGCTGTGATTGAAATGGCACCTTGCTTTCTTATACCCATGCTAATAAGAATGTTCTGTGGAACCAAGTGGTCCATCCTGAGCACTGTCAGTGGGCCGTGAGACACTGTGTTCAGCATGCTGCATGTACAGCACAGAAGAGGCTGAGGTGCAAAAGGAAGCAGATGAGATACACAAGTGTTGCAACAAAACAAACCCAACAAAAACACTTAAAATAGCACCAATTAATGAAGGTAATGCTGCAAAAATCAATTTCGTGATACAGAGCATATGCCTTTCAAACTGGGTTACACCTACCTCTACCACAACATGAAAACTTTACACGTGAGATGCCAAACACAATTTTAAGGAATCAGTACCTGAATCCTTAACTTGGCGCTATAAAACCCACTGCCATCAAGCTGATTCCTACTCGTGGTGACCCCATGTGGCACAGCTGAATGGGTTTGAGTGCCAACTTTCTCAGTAGAAGCTGAGTGTAAACTACACAGGAGGAACCTACTTGGCAAGGTAAGTCTTTTAAAAACGTGCTGACAATGTGCTTACGATCTGGCCATTGAGTGAGTTCTCCTTTCACACCTTCTCTTTAACAAAAGAGGCACACCTCCTCCTGTCAGAATGGCACACTGTCTTGAGATATAAAAAACTTTTGGAGCACCAAAAAAAAAGGATAATCTGAAATGCTGAGGCTAGACAAAGCATTTAGTTAAGGCACTATTTCTATTATACCTTATTAAAGGGAGATATTGCCAATAAAATTTTACTTTTATTTAATAATTATTTATCAACATTTTCACATATTTATCATTCTTATTCACTAGTTACTAATAATTATAATGATAACAATAAAAGAACATCTTAACACTTCAAACTTTATAGTTCCAAGAAATTAAAAACAAATTTCAATTTACACTATTTTTATTGCATACACACGCACAGAAAAAATACCCAAGCATAAACATAAATCAAAATCGAATAAAATTTTGTGGTGCAGTAAAACGGCAATAAGAGCACTTATATTCCATTGACTATATATCAGTTTTATTCTACAATGTCAATATTTACAACAGACTGGAAATTATATCCTTTGCATCTATTTAGACTTAAAAAAAATTAAATATGTTAGCTAGCACATTAAAAATGTGCAAGGACACAGTTTTGAAAAATAACTTCTTTGAGGGGAAACACAAGATGATGTGGAGAATAAACTCAGAAGCTCTCACAAAAGAAAGGGATAAAAGGACAGAGATAAACAAACCTCTTAAAGGAAAAGATGACAGAGTGTGGAGATCTATCCCAAGAATACATGTGCTTAAGAAAAACACCCACACAATGAGACAAATGCAATTATTTAAAGGTTTAAACAACATTTTAAAAAGGTGAATTAAGAAATAAGAACAAAGAAAAACAAGACGTATATACAGACATCTACAGAGTTCAAGCACACTGTGTTCTAGAATTAATGAATATACCCACAGCCTACACAAGCCATTACCTTTGCTTCCCCAATTTCTTTATCGGCAGTCTCAAGTACTTGTTCTTTATGTCTTTCCAACTGCTGTGCTAACTGGTCTATTTCAGTTAATTCTTGGCAGAGTTTTTCATTTTTGTTACTTAAATGAACAACTTCAGTAGTGACTGTTTCCTTGCTTTCCATAAGCTCTTGTATATGCTTCTCCAGATCTTTATTAGCTTGCTGAAGAAAGTCAACCTAAATTGAATTTGTAATCCATAAGGTATAGGAATCAGAAAATTATCAAAATACTATTCCAAAATACTGCATTTTAAAAGCTATCAAAACTTAAAACCAAAGTTATTTTACTTTCATTGTTCTGATTTTCTAAACTACTAATATGTGGTTTGATAAACATATATATGCACTGGCTCTAATTTTCAAGCATATTTAAGAAAGTTGCATGAACTTTTTCTAAATACAGAGTTCTAAAAATATGAGAAGAGTTTCACTACGATGATACTACTATTGTTGTTGTTAGGTGTCATCAAGTCAGTACCGACTCATAGCGACCTTATGATGCACAACAGAACGAAACACTGCCCGATCCTGGGCCAACCTCACAATTGTTGCCACACTTGAGCCCACTGATGCTGCCACTTGGACAATCCATCTCTCTGAGGGTCTTTCTCTTTTTCTCTGATCCACCACCTTACCAAACATGATAACCTTCTCCAGATACTAATGTAGTAGTATGGGGGGGTGGGGGGAATTCAAAAAGTTTATAGAAAAATAGAATTAAAAGATAATGGGAAAGTGCAACTATTGGTCTCTTCATGTGCACAGGAAAGAAGAGTGATGACATTTTAGACATTTGCAATCAATTAGTTCAATGGACTAATGGACCACAGGAGCATCTGTCCCCAGCACCCTGACACCAGAAGAACTAGGTGGTGCTCTGAAACGGATCACATTAGAGAGTCCTGGATAGAGTGGAATATGTGGAACAAAATTATAAAAAGGACTGGAATTACTGATCAGAAAGAGACTGGAGGAATCCGAGACTATGGCACTTGGCCACCTTTCAGATTTGGAACTGAATGTACTCTCCTGGATCAATATTTAGTCAAGCAGTTATTGTTGTTGTTGTTAGGTACCATCAAGTTAGTACCAACCCATAGCAACCTTATGCACAGCAGAACGAAACACTGCCTGATCCTGGGCCAACCTCACTTCTGTTCCACGCAAGCAGTAGACACGTATATAAAGAGGATAACAACACTACAGAATGGTCAATCATTCAAGATCAAAAGCACAACATTTACTTAAGGACAAGGTTCAGAAGGGTTGGGAAGGAAGGTGGAATGGAAACAGACTCACAGGGAGGAAGTGGGATAACTGCTGTTACATGGGGGGGATTACAAAGATTCAGATAAAACGAAATGTAACACTTGTTTAAAGTAAAACTGATGATCTGCTCTGCAAACCGTCACTCAATTCACAATAAAGAGTTTACAAAAAAAAAAAAAAGATAATGGAATTTCCCTACAAACTCTTTGAAGCCCCTGTTAACAGCTAGTAACAGCCACACTTGGTATGTCACAAGTCCAAATTATGTGGAATGGATGTCTCATACTAAGAAAAGTGAATTACTACTGAAACTCAGTATTAATAAAAGATAATTTACACACAGGATTTAAAAGGCAATAAACTATCTTTTAAAATATGTTCAATATGCCATTAATAATTTTTAATGTTGATTACATGCTGAAATAACATTTCAAATATATTTGGGATAAATAAAATACATTATTAAAATTAATTTCCCTGTTTCTTTTTAGTTTGATAAATCAGGCTACTAAAAAATTTTAAATCATATATGTGGCTCATATATTCCTATTGAACACTACTGCTCTAAAGCTAGCAGCTAGTATTTTTGACGTGCTCTGGTAGCATAGTGTTTACGAGTCAGGTTGCCAACCTCAAGGTCAGCAGTTCAAAACTACCAGCGGTTCCACGGGAGACAGAGGAAGCGTTCTGCTCCCATAAAGATTTACAGCCTTGGAAGCCCTGTGCAGGGTCACTATGAGTTGGAACTGACTCCACGGTATTTAGCAACAACAACATTCTGGTTGTAGCCTAGGAACCTTGGGCACAACTATAGTTCATAGGTCACATTTAAGTGAATTCCCCTGCTAAGCCTTTGGTCAAAAGAATGGCAAGAAAATCTACTATACAGGTAGAAATATACAATGCATTTAATTTTTTACATTTTATAAACAAAAGAAAGAAAACCATAAAGAATATCACTCAAAGATATATTTTGGTGTATTCTCTTCTAGTGCTTTCTTTCTCTGCATATATATGTTGTTGTTGTTAAGTGCTATAGAGGTGGTTCCGACCCATAACAACCATGCATAGGGTTTCTGAGGAGCAGTTTAGGATCACATTGTGCCTACAGTCTCTTCTTCTCTTTTGAATATATAACATGATGAGGTACATGTAAGGGTATTTGAAAAAGTTCATGGGAAAGTGAAATTAAAAGACAACGGAATCATGACTAACTGCAATCGTCACACTGTAAAGGTAGAAGTTTTGTTACAAAAAGGGGGATGTAGCTAATCTTACGGTCCAAGGAGAGAGGACCCTAGGACCATCAAGGGAGAAGAGCATGAGTGGGACATGGGGCCCTATCCAGAGAAACAGCGACCCCAGAGATGGAGGCAGAGATGAGGACATGGAAAGACAGAGCAGCTGAAGACTCTAGACTCATGGAAAGAGAAAGGTTGAGTGCTGGCGGCCAGGAGGCAGACTTGCAGAATGTGCCCTTGGGTTGTTTAAATTATTATATATTCCTGAGTGATTTTGTGTACAACCCCTCACCCCCCAAATAAAAACAAAAACAAAACTCCAGAGGGATAGAAGCAAATACTGTTGAATGATTATGTTCAGAGGAAACTGTAATCGTTGCAATGAAATGATGAGGGTAAAAACCGATATTCTACCATGTAAACTATCATTCAATTCACAATGAAAACTTACAAAAAAAAAAAAAAAGACAATGGAATTTTTTGTGAACTTTTTGAAGCTCCCTCATATGTTCCCTGACTCATTAAATGCTCAGTGAAAATAACAATTTTTCAAGCTGTACTCTAAAGTATGCAACTATTTCTTTTTGTTTGGAAGCTGTGGCTCTATCAACTTTTCCCCAGTATAAATAATACCTCAGTAAGCAACCTTGTTACATAGACCATACAACAGTATGATTTTACATAATCAGTGAAATAATTTAAAAAGTCATTACCTGAATATTTAAATGAGCAATAAGCCTCTCGTTGGTTTTATTTCTGCTCTCCAGAGTGAGGATATCTGAGCAGCGACCGCCATCCAAGGCCATTGACAGGCGTTCTATCTCTTGTTCTCTTAGCTCAATCTGAACACAGAAAGTAGAGTTTTCACTTAAAAAAATCTGATTTTGAACTCAAATGACTAACAGTACACTAACACTTATTTAGACATACTTCCATTTCTCTTATGTCCTACAATGTAGTCAAGAGTTTGACATTCATATATGTACCCACATATACATGGATTATAAAGCACACATGTACAGAGGAATAAACACTGAAAAGATCAACAGAAGTATCACCAGCATAGCTTCTGTAAATGTATGTCTATTGACTAGACTCTTCCTACTGTTACAGTTTGTTTCCCTCTTCTAAGATTGTTGTTAAGTGCTGTCAAGTTGGTTCTGACTCACAGTGACCTTTCCGAGGAGTAGCTGGTGAGTTTGAACTACTGACCTTGCGGTTCAAATTGACCTTGTGGTCCAGTGCTTTATCATACAGCGCCACGCCAGGACTCTAAGATTAGGAAGTGTTTACACATACATACAGGGAGTATGGTAGCTCTGTACAATAAACACTGGGCTGGGAATCATAAGGTTGGCAGTTCTAGCCCACCAGCTGCCCTGCAGGATAAAGATAAGGCTTTCTGCTACCATAAAGATTAACAGCCTCAGAAACCCTATACAGTCACTATGAGCTGGAACTGACTCGGCAGTACTTAACAACATACCTACACACATACTCAAGTACTGGAGCTGAATCTGAAGTACCTCAGTGTCTGGTGGCAAAAACGTAGAATAAAGGAATGAATGAATGCATCACACTAAGAAAAACGGAAACTCATTATTAAAAAAGATTAGAAATTTACATGAACTGAATGGTACCTGTTACTCAGAAAGCAACAGATATACAATAAAAAAAAAAAAAGATCACTATAAACCACACTAATTCACATGCAAGAACCTGAAACACCCCACACATTTTCAAACTTCAGTTTTCTTTTCCAAAAACTGAAAACAGAAACTAAGCATTCAATTCAGCAAGCAATTTTACTGAGTATAGTACTAGGTACACAAACATGAGTAAAAGATGATACCTGACCTCTACACAGACACAGCTTTTCAGGGAAACTAGCAAAGCAACCAATAATTACTATACAGTTGGTGTTCAAATGACAGAAAAAAGGGCATAGATACATGGCACCAAAGTAGTTTAGGGAATAAAGTGATTTCTTTTACAGGGTATATATTTTTGTTGTTGTTGTTAAGTGCCGTTGAGTCGGTTCCGACCCATAGCGACCCTAGGCAGGAACTAATGATTCTAAGAACTAATGAGTCTAAGTCTTTGACTACTTGGATCCACAAAAAATACGCATGGAAACAGCAATGGAAGAAATCAAACAACCTATTAACATTGGGCATATCTGCTGCGTAAGACTTCTTTAAAATGTTATAAAACAAAGATGTCGATTTGAGGACTAAGGTGTGTTTGACCAAAGCCTCAGTACTTTTAATTGTCTCATATACATACATGTGAAAGCTGGACAATGTATAAAGATGACCACAAAAAAACTACTTGATCTGAATTATGGTGCTGATAAAGAATACTGAATATACTAGTAGTAGTAAAGATTTACACCCTCGGAAACCCTGTACAGGGTCGCTATGGGTCGGAACCGACTCGATGGCACATAACAACAACAACAACAACAGTAGTAGTTAAGTGCCGTCGAGTCGGTTCCGAACCATAGCGACCCTGTACAGGGTTTCCGAGGCTGTAAATCTTTACGGGAGCAGAACGCCTCATCTTTCTCCCGCGGAGCAGCTGGTAGTTTCGAACTGCTAGCCTTAAGGTTCGCAGCCCAATTCGTAACCACTACGCTACCAGAGCTCCTTACTGAATATACTATGGACTGCTAAAGGAACGAAGAAATCTGCTTTGGAAGAAGTATACTAGATTGCTCCTTGACAATGATTATAGCAAGATTATTATGTCTCTTGTACTTCATGCATGTCAGGAAGGACCAGTCCCTAAAGAAAGAGGTGATGCTTCGTAATTAATATGGAGGGTCACAGAAATAAAAAGGAAGACCTTCAGTGAGACGGACAGACCCAGTGGCAACAATGGGTTGCAACGTAACAATACTTGTAAGGATGGCACAGTGTTTCATTCTGTTGGACACAGGGTCATTATGAGTTGGAACCAAATTGAGAGCACCTGCCAAGAACAAGTAAAATCCCTCTGAGACACAGGCAAGTCCTTCTCCTATAAGTGGGTCATACTGGGGAGGAGGAGAGAGAGAACCTGCTTTACCATAAATCTAGTCCCACTGTTGACTGTTTGCTTTCTATAAATAATAATGATGGCTTTTACTTGTCAACATGTTGTGAGAGTCATGTGTGTACCTCTCAATAATACTGGATAGACATAGCATCCATATAGTGGCTGAAACTACTGGGTGGAATGCCCATCCTAGCAGTCTTAGTGCTGCTGCTTGAAATTTTTTAAGCAACCTGTGTGTGCAGCACAGAGACCTATAATAGGACTCTGTAAGAGAGATGACCAAGGCCTAAAATATATCAGTGGCAGAAGTATAACAAAAAAAATAATAAAGTTAAGAAGTATTTAGGCAGGAAAATTGACAGAAGGTGGTGAGTGGTAGGTGAAGGGAAGAGAACAAGAGCTAGAAAGACTCCAGAGTGTAGGTGGGCAGATGGTGATGCCACCAAGCACAGTAAAGAATATCAGATGAAAAACAGATTTGAGAAAGACGTTCCGTAATAGACATGTGAGTCCGAAGAGCCTCCATCCAAAGGGAAATGCCTTTGTGAAGTTGAACACGTGGATCTAAAGCTCAGCAGAGAGCTTTGGCCAGAGACAGATTTGGAAGTCATCAACATACAACATTATTTTAAACCACAAGAGTAGATGAGGCCACCTGAGGAAACAGAATCAAAGCAGAAAGTAGAGAAGAAATGATAAAAGGCAAAAAGAGGAAAATCAAAGAAAATGAAGCCAAAGTAGTAGTTCAATGAAATGATCAATAATGTCAAATACCAGAATAGGTTAAAGACAATAAAGACTAAAAGTTATCCTTTAGATCTAGCAATTAATGTCACTGGTGACATGAACTACAGTAACTGCCGCAGGTGGAGGCAGAGATGAACAGTAAGTGAAGACAAGGAGACATTCCTTAGGAAGTCTGCATAAGGGGAGGGGAACCATTAACAAGTGGGTGTCGGAGTTAAAACAGATTGTTTTTAAATGGATGTTAAGGATTTAACACTTTTAACACTCTAAGGGGGCAATCTGCCATTAGAGTTCCTTTTTTTTTTTTAGAGTAGAATTTCTTATAGGACTTCTGTTGGTGTTGTTGATAGGTTCCAACTCATAGCAATCCCATGTACAACAGAACAAAACATGGCCCAGTCCTACACCATCCTCAAAATTGTATGTTTGAGTCCACTGTAGCTGCCACTTTGTCAATCCATCTCACTGGGAGTCTTCCTCTTTTTCGTTTCCCTCCACTTTACCAAGCATGATGTCCTTCTCCAGGTCCTTCCTGACATGTGCAAAGATGAAGCCTCATCATTCTTGCTCCTAAGAAACTTCTTCCAAAATGTTACATGTTTGTTCTTCTGACAGCCCAAGGTACTTTCAATTTTCTTTGCCAACACCATAATTCAAATGCATCAACTCTTCTCTGGGCTTCCTTATTCATTGTCCAGCTTTCTCATGCACAAGAAGCTATTGAAAATACCATGACTTGGAACAGGCACACCTTAGTCCTCAGTGATATCTTTGCTCTTTAATAGTTTAAAGAGGTTTTTTTTTTTTGCAGCAGATTTGCCTAATGCAATACATTGCTTGATTTCTTTATTGTTTCTGTTGTTGGTAAGTACCATTGAGTCGGTTCCAACTCATGAGGAGCAACCAGTGGATTTGAACCACTGAGCGTGCGGTCCACTGTTTATCCTACAGTGCCACACCAGTACTGCTAAGACTGACCGGTAACCACTGTACAATGGTGGTATCAGTAAGAATGGTCAAGCAATTTTCTCCAAATGTCTCAAACACCTAACAGACATATGCTAAGGACTGGTCCGTTTATGTTTAAGAAGTACTTTGAAAAATATAATAAGTGAATATTATGAACTAAAAATATACCAATCACAATCAACTCTGATGCAGAATAATTATTTTCAGCATTACAAAGATAGCTTTTTGTTTTTAGGGGAGGGGGTTCCTATATTATGAGTTCTTTTCTTAGAACTCAATTTCTATCCAAATCATCTTCAAAGTACTTTACAAACTTAACAGTTACACCAACACGTAAGTTATATCTATATTTGTATATATATAGATCCACCTCACACCAAAAAAGGCAGTCATGTGCAGAAAATGAAAAACGTGTTACCCAGTTTAGACTTCAGTAGGCATATTAAGAAAGAAAGCCTGTAATTAACTCAAATCAGAATTGAGGCAAGACACCAAGAGGAAGTAGGAAAGAACAAAGCTGGTTACCGTTATCAACTTTGCTTCTCCGGATGCCCCTGTTTTCTTCAGAAAACTGTTTATGAGGGTCTAGTGCTTGTAGTGAAAGAACATACAAAATACGGCAACAGGGAAAAGTAACTCTCAAAGAGACTCATGCTCAAAATGACAAACTCTATAATCAAGACTAAAAAAATTATAAAGATTCTTATTATAAAACATAGCATACTTTAATAAATTCTCCCTAAGACAGAAACTCTGGTAGCATAGTGGTTACGAGTCGGGCTGCCAACCACAAGGTCAGCAGTTCGAAACTACCAGCGGTTCCATGGGAGAAATATGAGGCATTCTGCTCCCGTAAAGATTTACAGCCTCAGAAACCCTGTGCAGGGTCACTATGAGTGGAACCGACTCCACAGTACTTAACAACAACAACAAGACAAAAACAGTAATATGGTTGTAAATTTATGCTTAGGGAAATACATGATTCACCTAAAGGAAAATCAAAGTACAACATAAGAAAAATTACTATTTATTTCAGTGCATCTATAAGGGAGAGAATGGGTAAGAGCAGTCTAAAGCCATCTGAGTCACTTCAGCTCTTAATTCTATTAACAAAATTACAAAAAAGATAAGAGATTAAAACACAAAATCAGCAATATCTAATGCAACCCGATTATATTTACAATCACATCTCAATCCCTATGCAAGTATATAACAATCCCACCTGCTTGTTATAATCTTTCACTCCATTTTCCATTACTGCTAACTTTTCTTGTAACTGGCAGACTTCTTGATGAAGTTCCTGAATCCTGAAACACATTTATAACTATGTGAATATGGTTAAGATATACAAAATAACATGAAATGAAACTATCTGCATTCTTTCATACACTGTCTACTTTCTGCTTCTGGGTATGAGGTTTCAAAGCCACAACATTTTAAATAATGTATCCCCTAAGAGAGTTAATTTTTAGAATGAAAAAACAAACAAACAAACTGAAACCCAGATAAATTACGCAATGAAAATACCTACTGGCTGACTTATCTAGTGGTGCTGTAACAGAAATATCGCAAAAAGATGGCTATTAACAAAAAGAAATTTATCTTATTATTTTGTTGTATGTTGTGAGGTGCCACAAAGCCATAGTCGACTTACAGAACACAGAAGCAGACACTACCTGGTTCTGCGCCACCCTCACATGGTTGTTGCCACTGTGTCGATTCATCTTGTTGGAGGTGTCTTCTCTTCTTCGACGGCTCTTCACTTTACCAAGCATGATGTCCTCCTTCTCTGGAAGTCCATGGTAAATTCATTATTCTTTGCTAACACCATAATTCAAATGCACTGATTCTTCTATGGTCTTCCTTCTTCACTAACTTTCACAAACATCGGAAGCAACTGAAAACACCATGGCTTGGGCCAGGAGCACCTTAGTCCTCAAACTGACATTGTTGCTCTTCAACACTTTAAAGAGGTCTTTTGTAGCAGATTTGCCCAGTGTAGTACATTATTTGACTTCTTGACTGCTGCTTCTATGAGTGTTGATTGTGAATCCAAGTAAAAATGAAGTCTTTGACTGCTTGAATCTTTTCTTCATGTATCATGATGTTATTTATTGCTCCAGTTGTGAAGACTTTTGTTTTCTTTACATTAAGGTGCAATCCATACTGGAGGCTGTTGGTGTCTTTGATCTTCAGCTCACATTTTAGGATGCTGTAAGTCCAAATTCAGGGTACTGGCTCTAGGGGCATGTCTTTTCTTTCTGTGCACTCTGGAGGAAGGTCCTTGTCTCTTAACTTCTCCAGATGATCTTCCTATGGCTTGGCAGCTCGATTCCCCATCTCTGCTTGATAACTTGGTAGCTTTTATATCTAAAGAGAATGACTCAAGGCATACTCTACATTCTTAACATTACAAAGACAACCCACTCTCAAATGGGGTTAGAATTATAGGCATAGAGGTTAGAATTTTAAATCTTCATATGGGGGGGAGGAAGACACAGTTCAATCCATTGTTGTGAAGTGCTATCAAGTTGGCTCCAACTCACAACAACCCTGCATAGGGTTTCCAAGGAGTAGCTTGGTGGGTTTGAACCACTGACGTTACAGTTAGCAGTCCAGTGCTTAGCCTACAGTGTCACACTAGGACACCCATTTAGATCCTGAGTACAACTCTTTGAGGTGCTGCTGCCAATTCTTAGGTTCATGAAACTGAGAGTCCATGGATCAAACCAAAATTGACAGCATTGTTAAGTGGAATGACAGACTGAAATTTGTTTTCTGACCCTTAGAGACACTGCATTTTCAAACAACCTATCCCTCAACCATATGAGAGCAGAGAATTATCAAGAAATGATATGATTTTCTGAGTATCTACAACAAAAACATGCTCCTTCTAGAACTCCAGATTTGGTCTAAATTACCAGAATTTTACAATTGTCTACTTTGTCAACATTGCTGTAAAACTGGCAATAATCCATTTTCATAGGGACAAGATAAAGCCTAGAGTTAGGTGTGTTTTTAACAGAGAATTTCTGTGGGCTGGAATCCATGAGGCTGGATAGAGCTTGTTCCTGCAACTATCAGAACCAAAGTTCTCTTCTAATCTAGGTTTAGGGTAAGAATCTGTAAGCAACTCTACTCAGACATGCATGATTGACTCTGAATGTAAACACAGTGTGCATGTGCAAACAATGTGAACAAGGGAATCAAAAATAGTGTTAAGAAGAGGCAGAAAATAATGCCTATGCAGCCCAAATAATTCCCTGAATAACACTAATACACTGTCTGAGAAGTCCCACATTATAACTTCATTTTTAAAATTTTTATAGAGATCCCTTTATTAAGGACAAAGACAAATCATCCGAATACAGGAGACTATCAACATGAGATCATAATGGTGCCCAAAGGATTCAATGCCAGATTATAACTTTAACAGTAGAACAAAGGACAAACTTTTTCACAGTTAAGGTCAGCTAACTGTACAAATGTTATTATTGTGTGAGAACATCATGGTTAAGATCAGCTAACTGTTGTTCTTATTAAGTGCCGTCGAGTTGGTTCCAACCCATAGCGACCCTGAACAGGGTTTCCGAGGCTGTAAATCTTTACAGGAGCAGAAAGCCTCATCATTCTCCTGCAGAGCAGCTGGTAGTTTCAAACTGTGAACCTTGAGATTTGCAGCCCGATGTGTAACCACTACGCTACCAGAGCGTATCAGTACATAACATTGTGTGAGAAGGGACCCTAATTAATATCTCCTGCCAATGCTATTTTTGTATATTGCTATATTGAGACTAATAAAGTGGGAAACACTCCGCATAGTTGATTTACTGAGATACTTGCATTAACTATTCCCAGTAGTACATTCCATATCTTGAAATACTTCTCCAGCTATGACCACAGATGTTGTACTAGTGACATCTCGCTCCTCTGAACCCCTTATAATTTTCTTAATGTCATTTTGAGGATTTCTCTTGTCTTATCTTCACCACTGGATTACAAGCTCTCAGCAGTAGCAGCAACATCTTCACGTTTTTCTATCCCACGCACACTTACAAAGTGCATCGCTCACAGGGAGTTGGGGAAGTTTTAGTGACATGGATTCTGTATCTGGTTCTAGTTTAAGGACAGACAACCATGAACCAAGAAACATGACTTGGAAACAAGCCAGTTCCAAATCTACTCACGTCCAACTGTCATCTGACATAACTCTGATGTAATAATAATAATAACAAGGATCCCTCTAAAAGATAACTCTTAATTGATGATGAAACTAAAGATCAGAGCAACTCTACACCAGCCAGAATGCAATTAAAGACAACACTGAGATATTGTGAAAAATATAGTTAATGTCACTGCACAATCTGTACAGAAACCATCTAATGGGAACTTAATTTATTGTATAAACTTTAACTGAAAACACAACAAAACATTACTTTAAAAACAACAACAACAACAAAGCAACTCTATGGAAATAGAATCTGGATGGCACTAAATTATTTTAAAGCTAGTATGAACAGAAACACTAGGTATATGACCTACGTGAAATCCAAGTTTTCAAATGTGTAAAAAGAGTCCACATTATACAGAATGACACTTCCCGAGTGTCCATGCATGGTTCTATGCGAGACACCGAGGACACAATAGCTAACACAAGAGGACTACTGTATCAGTGAACTAAAGCCAACAAAAAATTCTTCAGTGGACCTGTTATCAGCCACTTGCAGGAGGTCTGCAATATAAGGGTCATCTGGCTGAGGAACTGGATATGAAGTGACATCAGAAGGAGGGACCGGTTCATCAATTTGCATGCGTTGGCGCCTGAATGCAATGTTTCTTTTCTTGCCACCTAAAAAAGAAAAAAGGTGCATGTATTAAACAATAATCAAATAAAACATCATCTTTGAATTAAATAACAAAGAAGGTTCACTTTTTTGTTATAAAACATGCCTCTAGCTCATATTACAAGGCGCTTCAAAAAGTTCATGGAAAAATGGAATGCAGAGATCATGGAATTTTCCTATGAAGCCCCCTCATACATGCTGATGAAATGTTTCTCCCTCACATGTACATACCAACCTTCATCTTTAACTGAACACTGCATTCCTGAAAATCTCAACAAGTCAGGGTTCTTAGGACAAGTCTTATTTGCCTGAACGCATGGCTTGTATGCCAGAATTTACTCTATTCCTCCACTAGATGGGGACCATATGTTAGCAAGATTGAAAGGCCTGTGTTGCTATTATGAGCTCAAGAAATCATCACTGACAGAAACTATCAGATGCAGAGCTTAAGGCAGTAAGCACTATAATACATACTTATCAGACAGAGTCAAAAGCACAGATAACTGAAGATAACAGAATGTCATCACTAATACCAAATCATTTTATATTAATCTGAATCAGTTTTATTTCTAAAAGTAGCAAGAGATGTTTTCTTAAATGGGCAGGCATAACTTGTGTTGGTCCAAATCAAACGAATAATTTACCTATTTAAACATCTAACCACGATATGAAGTACACTTTAAAACGCAAAGATTATTACAAATAACATAGCCTACAACTTTGCCTTCATTAGAATCCTAACAAATTTTGTACACTTCTATCTGTCTCTCTTTTTTTTAAGACTTCTGGTGTGGCACTGTAGGATAATCACTGAGCTGCAAACCACAGATCAGTGGTTCAAACTCACCAGCTGCTCTTTGCAAACCCTACACAGGGTCGCTGAGACACTTAACAACACTCTCTCTTTTAATAATCTGCTTGCAGTTACATACCTAAACAAAAGTAACCCTTCCATCTTAAACATTTTTAATCCCGTACCTCTTTGTTTTTTTCTTCCTTGGCTGTTCTTCAGTTTCTCTCAGGCTCTCTCTTCCACCAGTGTCTTACATGCCAATTTCCTTAGGTTCCATTTTTAGTCATGCTTTCTTCTCATTCTATATAAGCTCACTAGATATCTCTACCACTCCATGAACTATGAGTCCCAAATTTGCTTCTCTATCTGGGGCCACAGGTGTGAGAACAGGTCCACACACATATTCCACCACTAACCAGAAACCATAACATGAGTGCCCCGTGTTTATAGCATCCTCAACACATGGAAAATCAGACTCTGCTCTCCTTCCCACACTATCTTGAGAAGCAGTACCACCAAACACTCGTTCATTTACTCAAAACGGAAATCTGGGAATTCCTATACTTTACAAATCTACCACACTCTGTCATGATATTCTGTTGACTACACCTTCTGAATCTCCCTTGAATTTGTCTCATCTTTTCTCAGGAAACCTGATTCTTCTTTTTTGAGCCTCACTCTTCTAGTTACTGCTGAGATTTTCTCCCACTTTACTGGAATCTCTTTGGTCCACAACTCCCTCTCCATTTAATGTCTTGTCAACTCAAACGCCAATGATTTCCCCACAGCCTGGCTTCATACTTCCTAATCCCCCAACTCTCCTGAGCTCCCTCTACACTCGCTTTAGGCACACAATGACATGATTATACTTTGGGCTTTGCCAACACAGAATTATGCCAGATTCCAGATCTTCACATCTGAAATTCCATTCTGATGACAATCTTCATTCCAAACGCATTCCTTTTGGTTCTCACCAGGCCCATTCGTCCCTCAGTCTTTATCCAGTCCCATAATCCAGCAGCATCTCAAGCTTCACTTCCACAATCCTAACTCCATGGTTCAGACATCTCAGTGATGCTCCCACTAGTATTATATATCCCTCCTCCACCAACCTAAGCCTGGGCAACAAACTCTGGATGTGCCCTATTATTTCTTTGCTTTAGAAATGCTGCGTACAAAGCTTTTTAAAAAACTATAGACACACAAAATTTCCAAATAATTCTCTCATCAGTATGGATTAGTTTTATAACAAATAAATTAAAACAGAGAGCAAAATATAACATTTAAGGAAATAAAACTGACATTCAAGTTAGACCACTTGTGTGGAAGAAGCTATTACTGCAAGTAGATACAATACAGACACATTGTAGTAGATACTATCTGTAACTTCAGAAATAAATCAAGAAGTTAAATGTGACTGTTCAACTATATATCTTTTAAAACACTAACTTCTAAGTATGAAAATCCTAAATCCTATTTCAGTCAACCGTTTTAGAAGCTTTAGAAGACTAAATGTGCAACATTTTTTTTTTTTAGAAAAAATAGACTTACCTGGAGTTTGTACAACTGCATGCAAATTCTTTTCCTGAAGTAGTTGTATTTTTTCATCCTTAGCTTTGCTTTCTTTCTCCAAAAGTTTAAGCTTATGAATATACTGGTTATTAAGAAATTTCAGATCACCTGTTTCACGTGCACACTTCTTCAGTGCAACTTTCAACTCTGAAATAAAAAAGATCCAAAGAGTGTTTTAAGGATTAAGAAATCTCTGAGGTTGCCCAATTTTATAAAACAAAACAAAAGCCCATCAATTTGAAAGAGTCCATGTCATTCTTATGCATGCTTTGTTTAAAAGTCTCTGCACCTTTTCCATTGCTATTAGTGCTATTTGTCTGTAAGCACAAAGGGGAGTATGCTTTTCTATAGCTGTTATAAACCGAATTCTCAATCACAGCTTTTGAGTCCTGTGAAGCTGGCCACTACCTTCTCTGCACACTCACATAGTCCACTAGTCTGCGCCACTGCCCCAGCCCTCAATGCCATGCTCCTGTGTGTCCCCCTGCTCCTGCTGGCCACACTGGCCCTCACCGGGATGCTGAGCCCAGCAGGTGCCACAAGCCCCACGAGGCTCCCACACCTAATGGGCGGCCTGGCCTTGACACAAACAACAATGAGGAGGGCATGCAGCATGTGCTAGATTTCACTATCAGCAAGTACAAGGCAAGCAATGACAACTTCCACAGCCGCCTGATGAAGTTGGTGCATGCCCGCAAGTAGATCGTGTCTGGAGCTTGGACAAACCACATGTACCAAGCCTCAGCCCAATTTGACAACCTGTCCCTTCCATGAACAGCCACACCTGCAGAAGGCCCTCTGCTCTTTCCAGGTAATACTGTCCCTTGGCTGGATATAACCTCCGTGACAAAATCCAGCGGTCAGAATGCAGAGGGTTGCAGAACAAGTCGTAGCACTGACTGCCTCTTACCAGAGTTCCCCTGCTGGGCATCTTAGCACTTAGATTGATGGTCCTGCCGGGGCAAGGCCTTGGTGAAGTCCCTGAATGGAAGCAACTTAAATGATGTGGAACAGCTATGTGTCTCTGTTGTTGTTGCTGTTAAGTGCCGTCGAGTGGGTTCTGACTCATAGCAACTCTGTATAGGGTTTCTGAAAAGCAGCTGGTGAGCTTCAACCGCCAAGTTTGCAGTCCAGCGCATTAACCTGCAATGCCACACCAGGACTCCTAGGTATCCCTAGCCTGCTCCTTTTCATGGCTTTTCAAATGCACCCAGCTCACAGTAAGAAGTAGCATCAGTGGGGGTGGGAAAAAAAATCACAGCTTTTGATCTGGTTTAAATCGGATATGAAGCAAAGGAATTATGAGTTCATAGAAGGTGTTACAGCCTTATAATGAATGAAAGAAAAATTTATGAATAAAATAGCCATACAGCTAATCATGAAATCCTGGTGTGATGCTATAGGATAAGCACTGGACTGCTAGCCACAAGGTCAGCAGTTCAAACTCACCAGCCACTCCTTGAAGACCTACACCGGGTCACTGAGAGTCAGAACCAACTTGAAAGCACTTAACAGTAGTGTAGTGGTTACGAATCGGGCTGCTAACCTCAAGGTCAGCAGTTCGAAACTACCAGCTGTTCCATGGGAGAAAGATGAGGCTTTCTGCTTCAGTAAAGATTTACAGCCTCGGAAACCCTGTGAAGGGTCGCTATGAGTCGGAACTGACTCCACAGTACTTAACAACAAGTCTTGGAGTCCTCATGTGGTACTACAGGGTAAGTGCCGTACTGCTAAATGTACAGTTGGCAATTCAAATCCTTGGAAACCCTATACAGCGTTGCTATGAGTTGGAATAGACTTGAGGACACTTAACAACAACAGCTAACTTTTTCCCAATATTTCTGAAATTATCCTATGGCTCAAAGACCAGATTTTTAAAAAAATGTTTTTATTGTGAATTGAGTGACAGTTTACATGGGGGAACATTAGTTCATTTCACTGCGATGATTACAATCCCCTGCATGCTTCATCATCAACAGTATTGCTTCTATTCCCTCTGTTTTTGTTTTTGTTTTGTTTTTTTTGATGTGCACCAAAACACTCAGGAATATACAATCATTCAAACGGCCAAAACATCACACCCTGCCCCCCCGGCTGCCAGCATGCATCCCCTCTCCCTCCATAGGTCTAGAGTCCTCAGCTGCTCTGTCTCTCCATGTCACCATCTCTCCCTCCATCTCTGGCACTGCCGCTTCTCTGGGTAAGGTCCCACACTTCACTCCCGCTCTTCTTCCTTGATGGACCCAGAGTCCTCTGCTCTAGGACTGTAAGATTGGCCACTCACCCTTTTTTGCCACAAAACTACCGTTAGATGGTGACAAGAGCAATTATTCAGAGACCAGCTTTTTAAAAATCAGGAAAGGCTTTCATCTTTATTATTCGTATTTTCATTAAGAGGAAAACAAAAGTGTTTCAAGAACATTTCTTCAATTCCACAATTTAAAATTCTATATAGTAATTTCAATTTTAAAAATTTAATCCACATATGGTGTAGACAAATACAACCATGGGATGCAAACTCGTCATCAAAAGCAGTTAACAGAAGAGCTAATCAACAGGTTTAAACTTAGACTGCAGTCTTTCTTGTTGTTATTGTCATTGAGTCGGATCCGACCCATACAACCCTGCATAGGTTTCCAAGGAGTAGCTAGTGGGTTTGAATCACCAACCTTGTGGTTAGCAGTTCAGTGCTTATCCTATATGCCACACCAGGACTCCACTAGCCTTCCATACTTCATCTAAATTACTGTGGCCATGTCATCAGGAGAGACAAATTACTAGAAAAGGCCATCATGTTAGGTAGTAAGACGGTCAGTGAAAGCAAGGAACACCCTCAATGAGGTGGACTGACACAGTGGGCTCAAGTACATCAAAGATCATGAACACACCAGAGGACTCAGGACCATTTCATGCCAACATGCAGAAGGTCACGCCATTAGTTGGAGCCAACTTCATGGTGAGTAATACCACCACCACACATAAAACAAAATTTTGTTTAAAAAGTTAACAATTTTCATTTACCTTTAATTTGTTGATCTGACTGTTCTCTCAGTTTCATTAATTCCAAGTATAAGTCATTATTCTCCCTGCATAATTTTGCATTTTCAACTTTATAGGGTTCCAAAACAAAATCAAAATTGGCACTTTCTTTTTCAGCTTTCACAGCAGATAATTTTGATTTCCGAAGGCTCTCTGTTGTATGAACAAGGTCACTAAAATTGAACAGAAAATGTAATCACATAGAAGCATTCCATTAACTTTTAAAACTAGATTTGAAAATTAAGGCTTAAAATATGTGCTAATGAAAAACTTGCCCAAATATTAAAAACATTTTTTAAAAGAAACTTTAAAGAATATTAGGATTCTTTCAAGGTGCCAGAAGTCCTCAAAAATTGTATCCAAACAAGAGAGCTGGAAGTCATAAACTATCCACCCACAGAGTTGTCTTTGAGTAGCTCTTCTTACAGCCATGCATCTCCCTCACCACCCACATCTGGTCAGGCACCTCAGGCAGCGAACTCTGTGAAACGCTTTGTTCATTCGGCAAATATTTACAGACCACTCTGTTTTTGCACAAGTAACAGAAGCATTGAACATTTTTTGTAAACCACACAACCCCCTTGCACATCTGTCTCCTCTGCTTACTTATGGGCATTATTTGAGTATGTACATTGTACACAAGGGCATGGTATTTAAGGAAAAAATATGGGATATGCTAATTGCTAGGGATAGGATGGAGTCCTGATGTGCTGCTACAGGATAAGCACTAGACTGCCAACCACGAGGTCTGCAGTTCAAACCCATCAGCTGCTCCTCAGAAACCTTATACAGGGTTGGAACTGACCTGACAGCATTTAACAACAGCATCAAAAGGGGTACCCTATGTACTGTACTACAACCCACAAACTCGGCAGTTCAAATCCACCCTAGTCATTCCATGGGGAAAAGATGAGGATTTCTGTTCCCATAAAGATTTAGAGCTTTGGGTAACTGAGTTGGAATCGACTCAGTGGTGGTAGGGTTTTTGTGGTTAGGGGTACAACAATGAATACAAGTCAGTCCTTCGCCTCCAAGAATACAGACCATTGAATCATCACTCAATAAATATTTCATAAGCAAGGAAGCACAACAAAGTCCCCACCATCATGGAGCGTATATTCTACTGACACCTTATTAAAAGTTATTATTTCAGCATTTTCTGTAGTCGAGACCTGAGAGACTTTCAGTAAGATGGAGGATGAAGCAGGCCACCACACAGACTCTCTACAACAAACATTTTGTTGTTCTTGGTGGTGATGGTTATGTGCCATGGAGTTGGTTCCAACTCATAGCGACCCTGTACAGGGTTTCTGAGGCTGTAAATCTTTACAGGAGCAGAAAGCCTCTTCTTTCTCTCGCGGAACAGCTGGTAGTTTCGAACTGCTGACCTTAAGGTTCGCAGCCCGATTTGTAACCACAACGTTACCGTGTTATCAAAGGTACCAACTCAAAGTAACCATATGCACAAAAGAACAAAACGCTGTCTGGTCCTGTGCCAACCACAATCATTGCTAAACTTGAGCCCAATGCTGCTGCGACTGTGCCAATCCATCTCTTTGGGGGGGTCTTCCTCTTTTTCACTGACCCTCCACTTTAACAAAGCATGATGTCCTTTTCAAGGGACTGGTCTCTCCTGATAATATGTTCAAAATATGAGTATGAAGTCTGGCCACCCTAGCTTCCAAGGAACATTTAGGCTGTACTTCTTACAACACCAATTTTTAACTCTTCTGGCAATTCATGGCACTTTCAATATTCTCCTCCAACACCATAAATCAAATGTATTAATTCTTCTACAGTCTTCCTTATTCATATGTCCAACTTTCAGATGCATATCTTGGCTTGGGTCAGGCACACGTTGGTCCTCAAACTGACATCTTTGCTCCTGAACACTTTAAAGAGGTCTTGTGTGGATTTGCCTACTGCAATACGATAGTCATCTAAATATCTTTACTGCTGCTTACATAAGTGTTGATGGTTGATCTGATCTAAACCAAGTCTTTGACACTTCAATCTTTTCTCCATTTATCTTGATGCTATTTATTTATTGGTGCAGTGGTGAGGACTTTCGGGTATTTTACACTGAGGTGTAACCCACACCAAAGGTTTTGCTCTTCGATCTTCATTAGTTAAGTATTTTAAGTCCTCTTCACTTTCAGCAAGCAGGTTGTATCTATCATCAGCTTGAAACTTCCTTTCATTCTGATGCCACATTCTTCTTCATATAATGCAGCTTCTTGGATTATTTTCTCAGCATACAAATTACGTAAGTATGGTGAAAGAATACAATCCTGGTGTACATCTTTCCTAATTTCAAATCATACAATGTCTCCTTGTTCTTTGAATGACAATCTTTGGTGTATGTGCTGGTTCCTCACTCATTCTCTGCAATTTTGTCCATCACTTATCATGATCCATACAATAGAAAGCTTTTGCATAGTCAATAAGGCACAGGTAAACATCTTTTTGGTATTCTCTGCTTTCAACCAAGATCCATATGACATCAGTAATGATATCCCTGGTTCCAAGTCCCCGTCTGAATCTGACCTAAACAACTCCCTATCAATGTACTGCTGTAGCCATTTTTGAATTATCTTTAGCGAAATTTTACTTGCATGTGCTATTAATGATACTGTCGATGGTTTCCGAATTCTATTGGTCACCTCTCTGGAACAGGCACAGATCTCTTCCAATCAGCTGACCAGGTAGCTATCTTCTAAATAATTTGGCATAGATGAGTGACTACTTCTAGTGCTTCCTCAGTTTGCTGAAAGATTTCAATTTGTTTTCCATCCATTCCCAGAGTCTTGTTCTTTGCCAATGCCTCAGTGCACCTTGGACTTCTTCCTTCAGTACCACTGGTTCTTGATCATATGCTACCTCTTGAAATGGTTGAACACTGACCATTTCTTTTTGGTATAGTGACTTTATGTATTCCTTTCTGCATCATTCAATATTCTGCCCAGAGAATTCTTCAATATTGCAAGTCAAGGCTTGAATTTTTCTTGTTCTTTCAGCTTGAGAAATGCTGAGCATGTTCTTCCCTATTTGTTTTCTAACTCCGGGTCATTGCATATTTTGTTACAATAATTGACTTTGTCTTCTCAAGCTGCCCTTTGAAATTTTCTGTTCAGCAGTTTTACTTCCTCATTTCTTCTATTTGCTTTAGCCACTTTATGCTGGAGAACAAGTTTCAGAGTCTCTTCTGACATCCATTTTGGTCTTTTCCTTCTTTTTGTCTCAGTGATCGTTTGCTTTCTTCCTCTGTCATTTTTTTTTTTTATATTATCCCATAACTCTTTCGGTCTTCAATCATTAGTGTCTAATGCATCATATCTGTTCTTGAGATGATCTCTAAATTCAGGTGGACTATATTAAAGGTCATTATTTTGGCTCTCATGGACTTGTTTTAATTTACTTCAGCTTCAGCCTGAACTTGCATATGAGAAATTGACAGTCTGTTCCAGTCTTCTACTGGTTTTGTTTTGGCTGATAATATGGAACTTTTCCACCACCTCTTTGCACAGATGTAGTCAATTTGATTTTGGTTTATTCCATCTGGTGAGGCCCATGCATATAGTTGTCTTTTATATACTTGCCTTTTAAAATAAGTCATTGGTCTTGTAAAATTCTATCATGCAATCTCCAGCATCATTTCTATCACCAAGGACGTATTTTTCAACCACTGATCTTTCCTCTTTGTTCAAGTCTTTGCATTCCAATTGTTAGTAATTATCAATACATTTTGAGTGCACATTGATCAATTTCAGACCAAAGAAGTTGGTAGAATTCTTTATTTTCATCATCACTGGCTTTAGCAGTTGGTCCATAAATTACAATAATAGTTGTATTAACTGGTCTTCCTTGCAGGCATATAGATATTATCCTACCATAGACAGTGTTGTACTTCAAGATAGATATTGAAATGTTCTTTTTGATAAAAGTGATGCCATTCCTCTTCAATTAGTCATTTCTGGCATAATAAAACATGCGATTGTCAGATTCAAATCAGCCAATACCA